GTTTAACTTTGCATGATTACAAGGCATAAATCTTCACGGTCAGTACTGTACATGTGTAAAACTTATTTTTGCATGTATACAAATAGTACAGACAAGCATTCAACATCAGCAATGTCAGAATCAGTCCAAGTTCGCCAGCAGTTGTCTTCTGCATTGGACACACTCCGTCAGCTGATCAGCAATGGTGAGCTGATCTTGTTCCTGGGAGAACAGGCCTCATGTCTTCCACAGCCGGCTTCTGTGGAGGACTGGTGGAAACACCTAGGGGACTTGGACAAAGAGGTAATGATTAATAAATATTTGAAAAATGAGAACAGTCATGTACTACAATGCTGATGGGCTTCAATTGTAAATTGTGTGTTATGGTATCATTCTCAAAACTTATTGCTTTTATTTTTATGGAATACATAACATTATGCTGTAATTAACAGATAAAATTTGTTTGTATCATTTTACGTCAAAATTCTTTTTGTGTGTTATCAATTTAATTGAAAATAAAATAAAATTATTAAATTTTTATGTAATTAAATGGACATCTAAAATAAATTGCCAAGATACAAAAGAGTCAGTCTTTTTTCAAAAGGGGAGGATCTATGTATTAAGACACAATATGATTTTAGACCCTTACATTAATACAGGATGCAGTTGGCAAGATAGACCAGTTGGAGTCAAATATGAGAGAGAACCAGCAATGGCTGCACACCATCCTCAGAACGTTGGGCAGATTTCCCATAATCTTCAATGTCAACCCTGACCGCCTGGTGGAGCACTACCTTATCAGACCAGGCGATAATGTCCAGACTGTTAGATTAGATAGGGTGAGCGCATGGGACATTTTGTGATGGAGCACTCCTTTATGGCAGATCCCAGCGGAGGGGGGGGATCAAGCAGACATGTGCCCCTTCTTGTAAGGTTCTGAGGTATCTCCTCATTCTGCCCCCCCCCCTCCACACACACACCACCTAAATATATAATAAGCAAAATGATGATACAAAACCAATTTTTCCATCCCTTTAAACCCCCTTTACACCGGACATTATTAAATATTGATGATATTTTTAATTGGTGTTAGAATTACTGTCTGTTATCAATGTATCAATGAATCAAAAATCAGTATATCAAAAATTTTTATGTCCAGGTTGAATTTTGTTCTTTTAATGGATTAAATTCTTTTAATGTCCATTGCAAAAAGAAAAATCTCCATTTAACTAATGTGTCTTAATATTCTATTTTTTCTGGTTTATTTGATAACTATGTAAATGTAATGTGAATTTAATTTTGGTTTATCTATCATTAAACAGTATTGAATAGATATTGAAATCATGTTTTTAATGCTAAAAGTGATGGGAAGTGATGGGAAAATCTGAACTTAGTGACTTGATATAATTTTACTTCTATTTTAGGTTGGAAGTCTGTCTGGTACATGGCCCAATGACCACAGAGTTCTACTTATCAAGTGTTTTGGTGATGCTTCGTATGATGAAAAAGACAAGCTCACAGTAGGCATTTTTTACAATGAGGCTAACTTGTAGAACCTCTGTTTATTTTATGTTATTTTAAATTAAAGAAATAATTAATAGATGTTACATTGTAAATTAAAGCTTGTTATTTTCTGGCAAAAGGTTTCTGATCATAGTTTTACATTGAAAATATATTTTATTGTATTTGTAATACAAGCTGGTATTTGAATTTATTGCAATTACAAATACCCCCATATGAAAATGTATGGATGAAGTAATATCTTCAAAAATTTCAGTCTGCTAGTAAGAACTACATGGAGACCTTTCACTCCATGGCATCTGAGGAGACAGCATTTGTAGAAAACCTTTTCCACCAACACAGTATTCTGTTTCTTGGTTGTGAGAAAGACCACCCTCTACACAAGGCATTCATGGAAAGATTTGTGAAACATTCCAAGGTAACAATAAACTTCTTTTAAAAGCTATGAAATTTGGTTTATGGGTTATTCTTGAAATAAAAAAACATTTGAGCTAGAAATTTCATGCAATTGATCATTATCATCACGTACACAGAAAATTTGTAAGACTCATCGTATTATGAATCATAGACGTGTCTGGTGAATTTTGTGTGTTGATGACATTTTTTTCTTCATCCTTGGATATTAATCATATATTCCATTGATACATCAAGTTTTTCAGTTTTTCTTTGTGTATAGATTCGTCATTATACACTATATTGAATTTTTGAGCTGAGTTTACTGTGATTCAAAACAATTATGTCATTATTTTTTCTTGATTTATTTATAAAGGGTCAACATTATCTCTTTCAACGAGGAACCACATCAAGCTATTTCCAAGATGACCATTTGACAACCATCCAAACAGACATGGAAATCAATGAATTTGCCCAATATCTTACTCCAGGGAGTACAGAGTTCAAGATAAGGGCACCCGGAGAGGTAGGCTTGGAGAGTTATTGATTTTTATAACTTTATTTAATTATAATATAATAATAAAAATTTAGTGTCATATTTATACATAGCGTAAAAAATGAAAAAAAATTATTGAGATATTCCAAATGATAAGAATATGAACAGAAGTTTAATATTGGCACATGCATGCTTAAATAGGGTCCTATTTGGTATTTTTGTTACCCGTGAAATTAAGCCACCTTATATTTCCCCAAGTTGTGCGAATACAAAGAGTGATCTCTGAAGAACCCCATTCCCATTACCATTATTCATCATTCTTGAAACAATGTCATCATACTCGTGATCATGACTTTCAACTCTTTTTGAATGATATAGGAATTAAGTTTTATTTACTGTGGTTTCTGAATTGATGATTTTGGTTCCCATGAACTGTGATCACTAACCCCCCTCCCCCAAATGGGACCTTCCTTAAAGGATATATATAGCCTGTATCTTAAGACAAAAGCAGTCATGTTTATAATCATTTTCAATCTCATGATAAAGTAACTATCTGTCGTGTGTTGTTGAAAATGAGTACAGTTTGAAAATCAAGATCTGCTTTCAGAATGAAGTAATTTTTTCTTCAGTCAACAGCTAATATTGAAATAGTTTTTACCTCCAATATTTGGATGTCTGGCAGAACATCTTCATCAGGGAATCGAAATATTGTAGGTAAAAACAACATAACACAGCTGATGAAATTCTTATCTGACAAGATCTGCTTATACTGGCAGACTGAGGATTTCGTTTAAAGGAAGTGGGTGGGGATGGTAAGGGGTAGGGGTGGGGGGGGGGGGTAGAAGGATTAAAAAAATGACCAGACCAAGCAAGTCTAATTGTAGAGGAATTAAGGCACAGAGGACACTGAAAAATTTGCTGGTTTAGGCTAGTTTTTTTTTATGGGGGAGGGGGAGGCATGTGGACTATTGCACCTCTTCCTGTGGCTCTGTCATTGTGCTTCCATAAACCAATGAAAACTAACAATTTCTTTGCAGGTGTATGAGCACTCCTACCTACCCACCCAGAGAGAGCAGTACTTAAAAGCTCAGTTAACTCTAGAAGCAGCAGCCTCTGAGATAGGATTCCATACAGCTAAAGTCACCAATGCTTTGGCCACAGATGAGGCACTAGAGGCAGAGTCAAGGGGAAACTTGGAGAAAATGTTTAAGAATGATCCCTTCAGTAAGTTATTGTTGTATCATATTTGTCTCAAAAATCTCCAACATGCATTACTTTTTTCAAGTCATCCATTATAATTTTTATTATCCAGCAAACAATTTCATCACCTCTATTATGCACCTTAAGTTAAACAGATAGTTTAAATACTGTATATTTTTGCATGTATATATAAATGAAATAACTTGATTATAACCCTTCAATTTAAAGAAATTTAATCATATATAATCTTTATGGCCAGTACAAAAGTTATGGTATATTGTTATATTAAATTCACAGTTGGACAATACGATGCAAGAACAGTACAAGGAGCAATGGATGCCATGAAAGGAAGACGAGACAATTTATTGAAGGTATTTTATATCTTGCAATGTCAGTGACCCCCAAATGAATGCTTTAAAAGATATAACTATGCACTAGTAAAAAAAAATGCAATGAAAAATTATGGCAAATCAACTATATCTGAATTAACTTGCTGTTTGTATGTTGTACATTGTGTCTAAAGGGAACTTGAAATTTATAACAAGTCATAAATTTTCATTTATTATGGTAGTGATGAAAAATCTGCCAAAGCAATATTATAATATATCAGTAACACAGCTTTTGAATCGTATTTTTTTTCCAGCTCATTCAAAATGGAGTAAGGGTGACAGCAATCTTCAGATTTGACACTTTTGAAAAAGACATTGTTGATGCCTCCACCAAAAAAGATGTCCGCCAGAGAAATGTGAGGAAATATGCCTCTGTTTTACTGCAGTCACGTTCTGTTCTAAATAACCAGAGTATGCTGGAGCTTAGAGTAGTGCAGGACATGAATGAAGAGCAGACAAAAAGGATGAAGGAACAGTATGCTGTTATCAGATTGAAGGGTATGGGTTTTCTGTTGATTATTTGTTAAATATTTGATTCTATATCGAACAATTATATTGGTTTGTCATGAAATGAGAATGAGCAGTGCATTTGTGCATCAGTGGCATGAGGCCTGTAGCACAGTGATGGATTTAGGGGGGTGTCAGGGGGGTCCTGACCCTCCCCCCTTTGATTTCTGAAAAAAATCACACCAATGGTCCCCTCTTGAAATTAGAATTTTGACCAACAGAACCGTAGTTGTAAACCATACCAAATGGCACCGTTCCCCCTCTAAAATGCCAGATTTAAAAAAAGTATAAAAAAACATTTTCTTTTGATTTGATAACTGATTGCATTTTATATCCTATTACTTCCATTTCTTTTTAAGACAGTCATCTTATTATTCTGACTTGTATTTTTAAGTTTCATTATTTCCTTAACATAAGGTGCATTCAAAATAATGACTTGTCTCTACAGGAAGCTCCGATGAAGCTATTGCTTATGCCTCACCTGCTGTTGAAGGCAAGAAAAATGTCAGCATCAATTTAATCAGTGTTAATGGTACTGAGGCAGCCAGAAAGCGTAAGATATTTGAGGAAAGCAGAGAAGCTGCGTGGGACCATGAGAAGTCCATGTTGAATCTGACCACTGCACTACTACAAGCTGATGAGGAACTGAAGGCCATCAGTGTATGTCCAAAAAGTTCATATGTCATTCTTGTTCATGCATTGGTAAAGTTAGTAAGTGAATATATAACAACTTTAACCACCCCAATTTAATAATTTATGGTAAGACAATTTGACAAATGATGTGTTAAGTCATGGATATCTATTATATTTTTAGACGGAAGACAGAAATAAACTTCAAAGGCTTTACAATGTCCAGATGTTGACAAAGACTGAGATTGAACCTGGGACATGGGAGAAGCTGGGTGAAGGAAGCTTTGGTGCAGTGTTCAAGGTACAGTGGAAAGGAAAAGAAATGGCCTACAAAGTCTTGCAGAAGATATCAAAAGCAGATGATCTGGAGGAATTTGAAGGAGAATACCAGAGCTTGAAGTAAGCTTTTATTCAACATCCTCTTTTCTGTTTGAAAAAAAAAAAAACTAATAACTTTCAGACTTGTATTTTATTTAATTTTTCAACATGCCATAACTTGGGTTTGAAAAAATGCATGTTTTTTTCTCTTTTGCAAAAAAAAAAAAACAACATTTTTTTTCTATTTTCAAGGAAAATTCATCATCCTAATATCATCTCTGTAGCAGAGATGTACCGCACAGACAATCCCATACAGTTAGGTATTTTGATGGAGTACATGTCAGGGGGCAGTGTCAGGGATGTGATGAACGAGAACCCAGGTCAAGGTCAGAGCAAGGACTTTGTCTCCAGGCTAGCCATGCAAGTAGCATGTGCTTTGGATTATCTGCATTCCCTGAAGCCAGCCATCATACACAGGGATATTAAGGCAGATAACATATTTGTAAGTTTTGTGGTTGCAGAAATGGTGCTGGGGTTCCTAGTCACAAGCTTTATTTTAATTTTTTTTTCATTTTAAATATTGAAATAAACTTGGGAAATATTAAATGGAATAGATATCAATGAAAATTACATTTGATAAAAATATGCTTATTACCACAGAGAAATGAGCATGGTGCATCGGTATATACTTAAAAAAGTGAAAACTTAGAAAGACGAAAAAGACTGGTTTTTCATTGTCTCATGTGTAAAGATATTTTTAAAATATTTTAAAAGTAACTGTAAGCTTTTTTTGCTGCGAGGGCCTTTGATAAAAGGTTGAAATGCTGTGCCTCACAGGTAAAAACATGTACATCCTCTTTGGAAATGATTTTTAAGAATTGAAAGGCAGTTGAATTGATGTCAGGCATAAGAAGCAATCAGAAACTTGTTAAAACAATAGTTGTTCACCTGAATGTAGTGGCTACACTCTGGCTGAGGCAAACCTCAGCTAGACTGACAATTTTTAATTATTATGTAGGGATGTATGTAAAATGTATGTTGAAATTAATTCAGTCTACAATGGCTCTATGTAAAATTCCAGTAAAATGGAAGTGGATCAGTAATGTTCTGTCACTGGTTACAGTAACTGCTTCTGGTCTGAGCTAGGAGATTCTTAGACCCCATTCCAATAGATTTTAGATCGATCTATCCCTGTGAGGAGTCTCTTTAGATTACTATCAGCTCAGCCGGCTTAAGCATCTGTCCCGCCTACTTAAAGCTGTAAGGGGGTAATTAACTATGGTGCCTGCTCGGCTGACTGCAATTTAGCCTGAACCCCCAGGGAGTTAGGTCGATCTAAATCTAAATCTCTGGATCAATTTAAATCTGTGGGAATGCACCCTTAGACCCAGCTTTTGACCCTAGACCCGAGATTTTGGCCAGTAGGATAAAAAAAATTTAGCACAGGCTGCTTGTTCACTTTTATTCTATTAAGGCACCTTTTAGCTATGCTTGGTTGATATTCATTGAACAATTATTTAGAGTACATGTACAGTTTGTTCCAAAATGATGCAGAGTTCATCCTTTTTTCCAGATGACAGCAGACAAACAGACCTTCAAGTTGGGTGACTTTGGTCTTTCAAGGATTACCTACAGTACATACCAGACTAAGACCATGGGCTGGGGCTGTTACCGCTACATGGCACCAGAGATGGGAAGAACACAAAAATATTCACCCAAAGTAGATGTATATGCTTTTGGTGAGCTTACATTGACTGGGATTTGGATTGGATGCATATCTCTGTAGATATATTAGTTTAAAAAATAATTTAATTAAAGTCATAATAACTCTTCGTTTTGGCCAAAAATTGGATTTTCCTGGAAAAAACGGCAATTTTCCCGTACTTACCAATGGCCAACGACCCCATTCCTGCATTCAAAGTTAATCCAGGGTTTTTTTCCTAAACGCACGGTTTTTTGTTAAAATCTCTTAAGAGATTTTAACTGACGGAGCTCTCTCTGACATTGCAAAGTCACTGGTGACCTACTTAAAACCGCGGGAAAAGCAGACAACAACAACACTATATAAGATTCATGAGATATATTCGTCTTTTTGTTAAAATGCATTTATATCCTCAATGTGTGCCATTCTGGGCTTTTCGTTATCCGACGCACTGTACAAAAACTCGCAACTTACGTCTGAGGGTTTCCCGCCATGTTATTTTGGTCTCGAATGAACGCGAGAATCCGCGTGACACCATTACGTCATTAGCAACGAATGCACTTGTCGACCGGAAAAAAGGGATCGAAAGCCCTATTGACAAGCACAGATTTTAGTTTTCCTACAATAACGGCCGTTTTAGTGGTAAAATACAATAGAATATATTTCCATGCGTTGTTTACAATGTATTTCATGCGGATTTTTGAATCTCAAAGGAAGAGTTATTATTGCTTTAA